AGAATTTATAAATATATAAGACTCAGTATATTGTTCTCAGTCATGCGTACCTCGACCTCTACCAGTACCCCTGAGTGTGGGACAAACAAAGTGGCAATTTCGGTCACCAGTTGATCAAAACTGGGCCGATGTTCAGGCACAATATTCCAACAGTTGGTCATCACATCGTAGGCGTCCTACTTGGTTGATGATACAGAATTGAGAGGGTTCAGTTTACAAGTTCGTAAAGTATTGAGGTTTTCTGTGTGGTTCACTAGTGAAAACTCTGCTACTACAAATGGTAAAGTGGTGTTCTATGAAGGGGCCAAGGGTTGTTAATGGAGATCCAGTGCAGAAAGGAAATGAACTCAAAAGTTCATACGTGATTTGTAACTGATCACTGCACCGGAGACCAACGGGCAAGCATCATATTACACAATCAATAAAGACTACCTGTCATCCTATAGCGACAATTATTAAGGAATGCAACTACCTTCGGATACTGTTGAGGTTTCGTGGGCAAGCCCCATATCACACAATAAGCAATAACTCTACCGGCTATTCTATAGCAACAACTATTCAGGAACGCACCTACCTTCGGACACTGATGAGGTTTCGACAGCCGTCCACCAGACTGTAAAAATTGGAGTATCTCGTAGACATTCTTTCCCCTATATGGCACTTCCTCGGCATTACTAAATATCTCCCACAGTGTCACACCGAACGACCAGATGTCGCTCTCACTGCTAAAGCGGTTCTGAATAGTAAACAATTATGCAGGAGGCTGGTGAGGGGAATAAATAATCTGTTCACCACCTTTCACGCGAAGTGTTCTTCATTAATACAGGAGCATATCTCTAAGAGTCGACGTAAATTATGAATACCGGTGAAGATATGTGGAGACAATCGCACAAGCTGATTCAGGTACTGATTCGATTGCGTTCCAATGTAAAAAATATGTAATATATATCTCATTTATATATATATATATATATATAAATTACAATGCATGTCAATTCCAATCACCATTTCCATAGAGTATGCCATACATCCAATTTACACTAATACAGATACCATACCTCCAACATAGCACGTGGGGATAGCCACCTAACGGGGAGTTCTGTTGCTGAGCCCATAACATAGAAGCTGCTGTCTTGGTCCAGTGTGCGGGACAGCCCGAAATCCGCTACTTTCACAGTCGGATAACCAAAGGTGCTCTGCGTGGGGGATAGTATTGAGGGAAGGAAGTGATATGAGAGTGTAGATTAAAGAAATGATCGTATAGTAGAATAGTATTTGTACACTGGGTGCTACTTGTATTGTATGAGTTACTGCTACATGAAGGTACGTGGATGAATATTATAACCTTTTCCAAGTGCGAGCAAAACAAACACCACATATGCAGAAACATAAAAACATATAGGAACACATACCACACACCCGAGTGCGAGCGTGCACGTTCTTAGCACCCAGTTCTCTGTGCGAACGCCCCACTGCGGACACAGTACCAGCAATGCAACTGAAATATGCAACATATACACACAGACCTCTTCCAGTGCAGGTATAGTACGGTCCACCTACAACAGTATCAGCATTGCAACTGAAATATGCAACATATACACACAGACCACTTCCAGTGCATGCATAGCGCAGGCCACCCATCCAGCACGCAAGTAGATAGGCATCTTGCCCCAGTCCAGTCCCGTGTGTGGGTGTGCAGATTCCTGTGGCCACGTCTCAGTACACAAGGCCTTTATCTGGACACATTACCACCACATTACCAACAAACCAGAGACAGTAAAATGCAATACAAACGTATACTCCTCCACGTGCACGCGTGCAAACGTATACAGTACCATAAGCCACACTTGAAGTAGCATATGAACACCCACCTCCGACCCGCGTGTGAGCATGCAGTTTCTTGTGGCCAGATCCCTGTGCACAAGACCTTCTTTGGCGAGATACGCCATCCCACTGGCTATCTGGTACGCGAAGAAGTACTTCTCACCCACCGTCACAGGTTCGTCGCGATCGAATCTGAACGAGGTTTATTCGGGTGTGATAGATACAAACTCAGTTCAGTATCACATTTTAACTAGGTTTTAGTTTGAGGTCAGTTATTTAAACATAGCTTAGCACAAGCGCACGAATGATGCGGACCAGCCTATCCAATATTTCTGAAGAACCACATAATGGCACTCTGTAGTACTACATAAGCACTGTGGATGATACTCAGCCAGACGATGGGTATGAGACTTCGTGCCCCGTTTGTCCACATATAAATGTATCACATCAGCAAGCATTCGCCCGCATACTATAGCAGAGAACCGAACCCACTAGATATGAGGTATTAAGCAACTACCCTGATATACACAGGTGAAACTGTTAACCACAATGCCAAGGTAGGTCCCGCAATCGTGCGTGAGATGCATACCGGGACCGCAGTGAACACCACACACACGGCACACACACTCGCAGACAACTGTGCAGAACCATCACAACAAACACTTAGATGCACGCGCTATGGGGTGTGGGTTAACCTACAACACGTACGTGTATGTGGACACTCGGCGGAATGAAACAGAAGTATATGCATGTTGCATACACGCAGGATGTCCTCCGGGAATCACCACGTCGGCCACACAGGTGGATAAATTTACACACGTCTATGTGTGTTTCGTCTAAATCTAAGCCCGCACCTTGAGCTCACATGTGTAACACATTCTTTATCGATATAATAAAACACCAAAGGGTGTGTATATGCATAGTTATACATATTTGTTGGCACATAAACGCAGAATCGTACCTTTATACTGGTGCACATATGCACGATGATACATACATACTGGTGAATACATACTGAATCCTACTAGAGCACACATGCACACTCATACATATACCCTGATGTATATATGCAGAGCCATACACACATACAGAGCATGTGTGTGCCTAGCACGAGACTTACTGCGAGCGTAGGTAGGTGTGCATGTCGCCGAGGATCATGACGTCCATGACAATGCACGCGGGCGGCCCATGGCAGATAGCGATGCAGTCCAATACGTTTGTATGCTTCATCCTGCGCATCAGATTCTGTGGTGTGGATGTTTCAGGACCAATGAGACTGAAGATAATGGTTGGTAAGCGATGATTTGTTTGGCCGAGAGAGGCAATGTCGGTGTAATCGAACACTTTTATATAAGATAGTGTGCTGGTGCTGTATTTGGCATTTGGTTTCTGTTGACTACGGGCACAAGCACAAGTACAAGTATACACATTGCGGGGTGATCAATATACCTATGGACACACACGCTCATACAAAAGGATATACAAGTATAGGTGCGTATTATAAGTATATATATATACATATATATATATT